CCAGAAGAGCTACCAGACCTTTCTACAGGATCACTACTTCAACAAGAACACTTCATCTGGACTGCTACCACCACCCTAACTAGGGGGTGTCAGGTTGTATTCTGACTCTGTCAGTGGCTTTTCTTTTTTACTATTGCACGTATTTTCTTTTTCTCTTTTCTTTCTTTTTTAAAATACTTTTTTTTTTTTCTCTTTTTTTTCTTATTAAATTGTATTTCTGACTTGGAGTCTCTCGCTGGTTTTCCTTTCAAACCATTACAAAGGGTTTGGAGAGCAGCACAATCCAGAGGACAGCCCCAGGGAGGCGTGGGCAGTTCTGGGTGCCTGGTCCTGCAAACCCCAACTCCTCATAGCCAGCTCTCCTACAAGCACTGCTGTTTCCACATCCCTCCACAGAAAGCTGGGAGGGGCTGCTGGAGCCTGCTCTGATTTCTCCTTTCAGCCCAGTAATCAGGACAAGGAAATTGTTTAATACCATCATCAAGTTGTGTTCAGTATCTTTAACAAGATATTTTGTTAAATCTGTTCAATATCTTTATCGAGTGCACCCCCAACAAGTTTGGTGTGCTGGAAGGTTCTGAGCAAATCCCCTCATCCTCCCACATTTCACCTCTCAGGATGATCATCACCAGATCACTGAATTGTTAAGGTTGGAAAAGACCTTTAAGATCATCAATCCAACCAGAATGATTTTGGAAACTCTGCAAGGCCAAATCTCAGATGTTACAACTGCCTGGTCTGTTCTGCAGCGTCCTGACTGGAAAGAAACATCACTGAGGTCAACAAGAGATGACTTTGCTTACTTTGCTTGTCTTTATTATATAGGAAAGGCAAAAAATGAAGGGAAGAAAACGCCAGCAGCTCCAGTGGGATGGCTAAATTTGGGAACTCGGGATGCTTAGTCACACAGCCACGCTGCCAGCTGGTGACATGCAGCTGCTGGGCCACAATGAACATTGGAACCCTGCAATGAACTGTCCTTCAGCCTCACCACGTGGTTCCTGGCAGGGAGAACTTCAAACATGAATGAGAAAAGCAACTCTGGCCCACCTGGCCCAGACCCAACCTCTGCCATGTCCAGCTCAGCTCAGAGGAGGCCGTCACCCTGAATTTCCTGCCTTTATGGAACACCTTCTACACTTCCTAATCTAGGTCTCTCTTCCCCCAGGAGCTCCTTGATGACTCATTTCCCTGGGTTTCCCTCTCTGATTTGCCAAGGAATGGGAGTAGGCAGTGGGATGGTCACAGGGCAAACCCAAATCCAAACTGGGGAGAAATGACACACAGCATCTCTCCATGCAGATTTTCCTGTTTACCTGCTGATCTCAGAACAGCCTGGAAAAAAAAAAAAAACAAGAAAGGAAAAAGCCCTCCCTGTGCCCACGGGGCTGTGTCCCCTCACTCTGCTCTGTGACATCCCTCCCTTCCCAAACACAGGAACATCTCTCAGCCCCGGGGTTGCCATTGGCCGTGATTCCCATCCTCACTATTCCCACCCTCCCTGTGCTGCTTCATCATTTCTCTGGAATCACGTGTCTGGAGGAGCTGAAGCAGCAGATTTCTGTGCAGACACCTCTGCAAGCACAGGGAGAATAAAGGAATGTGAGGAGTTCCCAAGCCTCATCCTCTCTGTGAGTTTGAAGGTGCTTTCCAGCACCAGCCAGGAAAAGGAGACTGAAGATTCATCCAGAACACGCAGCAGAGGAGGCTGCTGCAGAGTTTTTCCAGTAAATTTACTTCTGTTACATAAAACAATGTCATCTTCCTTCTGCTCATCCTGTCAGGTTTGCTCAGAGAAGGGATAGCTGACTGATGAGCAGATGTTTTGCTCAATGAACACCTAAAAATAGCTGCCAAACTGCCTGTCTAAAAAGTGCTTTTCCATCTAGTCCATGAAGTATTGGCTAAAGTTGGGCAGGATTTACACGAGGTTAAGTGCTAAGTTTTCTTCACCCCACAGTGG